CCAGAGGAAAAGGCGCACAAAGTGCTGAATGGGGAAAACTAGAAACACAGTGGTTATACCCTTATTTGTTCTTTGGAGCTGAAAGTGTGAAGGGTTTGTTGCCACCATTTCGGCTCCTTTCTCCCCTTTGGTGCAGGGGCGACTAGCCTGACAGAAAACAAGGTATTGATGTATCATTTCACGGGTTTAATTCTTTCGGCTCGGGCTCCCCTGCAGAAGGCATGAGGGCCGGCCTGGCCTGGTTTGGGGAACGGTATGCAGTGATTGCACATACATGTGAGATTCGTCTAGTGCTTGGTGATGCAGATGCTCCGTCCAACAAGTCTATTTACACAAATCTCGACTCAGCTGATCAATAGGTTTTTCGTTTTTCCCCCTCCATTAGCTGTCTCATTGGGAGCTCAAAGCATTCCATTTGGTTTCCGCTCTTTGGAATCCATTAATGCTGATGAAGAATGGTAATAAGAGCGAGTATTAATTTATTAACTCGAGCTTTCAAATTCAATTTTAATTTATTATTTTGATTAATTTTTTATATTTAAAATTTACATTTAAACTAATTGAACCAATCAAATACTTGAAAAGTAATATAAATTTTGTAATTAAATTGATTTTGAATTCTCATTTTTTGTTTTAAATTTAATAAATATACCCTGATCAATGAATTTTTATTTTTAAATATTCTACCATCACCCTATCACATAATTAATGAATATTTGTTTTTGGGTAAAGTATCTTAATATCTTTAAATTTCAATTAAAATTATATAAAAATTTATTGATTTTTAAAATAAATATTTTACTCTAAATATCTAAACGACCTTAATATTAAATATTAAATATCTAAAAAATATTTTTTTTCATTGTTTTCTTTCTCTTAAGTCAATGGATAACGTCTCATTGCATCAATCGACTTCACCCTATCCCTACATTGCCATGGAGAAAATCAGATTGACTCCTTGAGAACACCAGGGCTCCCAAGGGAGTACCAAATCTAGCGCTCTTGAGTAGCTCAATATCTGACGTTGAAATTTTTTTAAAAAAATAAAAATTATAATTTATTTAATAATAA